TCCCCTTCACTGACCAGACCTTTCAAAAGCAGCTATTTATCCTGGTCATTTTGCCCAGGTCATATTAACCATAAGGGGAAAAAAAAAAGCCAACCAAACCACAAACCAAAAACAAACCACAAAACACACACCCTACTTTAAGTATTGCGTGTCATCTAAACTTTTAGGCACCCATCTTCTTGTATGCACACATTTTTGAAACATCTAGTCATACAGCGTGAGTCACAAGTCAGGAGCCAGGAAACACAAAATCTACTTTTCTATTTAAGAGTTACCTGCAGCAGCATCTTGCTTGCACTTTCCCTGATCAACACATTTATCACCTTCATTAGCTCTGACTTGACTGCGTTGGGATTACCTGCAGAGCACAAAGCATCCCTCCTTACCTTACCCCTAAGGGTCTTTCATTAGTCTTCCAATTGCTGATTACACTAATACCCACCCCAAACCTCAACCACGTACAGAAAAGCCGGACAGGGAGGGAGGCAGAGACAGAGTGCACGCAATGGAATGCACACGAGCTCAACTTAACCTTGCAAATCACGTTGCCTTACTAAACACACACACATGTAAGACATCTAAAACTGTTACCTGTTTTAAATTATATGAGGTTTATATAAAGGAGAACAATGTAGAAAAAAAAAATCAATCAGTTAATATTTGGTTCAGGTAAAGTTCAGTCTAAACCAAGTATTTTTATTGCATCGAGTTTTCTGGCAGCAGTTAGGCATCAACGTTAAAGAAGAGCACACTTTCAGAGCCCTCCAAAACAACAGAAGGAAAACATCCCTTTTTTCCTCAAATTCAGTTATCCAAAAAGTACAGTGCTGATCCTCATTTAAACCTTGACTCATGGACATGCGAAACACTAATACTACTGCATAAACTTCACACATCAGAAACATGAGAAAATCTGTTTCAAATGACCATTCTTATTCACATACAGCAGTTTCATAATTTCAGTCTGCGCAAACGACTGAAAGCTGCATGAAATATTCTGAACTACTTTAAGTCGGAGAGAAGAGAAAATACTGGTCTAATCAGGAGGTGCTAAGCTTTGACCGAATTATTAGAAAAGAGCGCAAACTTCTGTTAAGTACCCTCTAATGTTTTGTTAAACATCTGTTTGCCTACTTCACTTCCTGTTCTCTCTTTCTCTCCCTCCCCCACCAGACAGGAAATTGTCTTGACAACAAATGAATCAGCTAGAAGTGGAACCAAGCAGCCATCAGCTGATTCCTCATTGTTTACAGTCACAGACACTTCAAAAAGCCTTGCTACTGTTCTCTTCCTAAGTGACCTTAGCTGTTCTAACTTCATTTCATTAAAATAAACGTTTAAACACAACAGAACCAGCTGTCTGAAGAGCCAAGTAATGATTTTCATCTTGAGATACAAAAATCAAAACAAGAAACACTTCACTCAAAGCAACTGAAATCGTAACAACACATATTGTAATTGTCAAGTCACAGGATCTACCAACCTTCTATTTCTAGGTTTATCTTTTTTAAAAAAAGAAAAAATAAAAGCCAGCCAAAGAGAAAAAGCTCTAAATAAAATCCCAAACAGCAATACAAATGCATTTGCTCTTTAAAAGCCATCTGGAAAAGCAACAGTATTGTTCATGGTGTATAGCAGCCTCCATATTCTTGTAATGTGCTATTACAAAGCCAACTCCACATCAGTATTACTGCATTTTATTTCTGAACTTCTCTACCCCCAAGAAAACTTAACTCCTGTAAACACTAAGACTGTAAGAAGTATCTCAAGTATTCAAATTAGTATTCAACATAGGCAGTTCCTACAGAAACTGACCTATTTTAGGACAGTGACAGGATTTCTATTTTATCAGTTAGGTATGTTTAAGAGAGTTTAAACATTCAGTACACTAAATCTTAGCCCCAATACTTTTGGGCTGCCTATCTCACGTTCTAAAACAGAATAAAAAAAGTTCAGATTAGTATGACATTTGAGATAGCATGCAAGCAGCTTAAAGTAAACAAAAAAAGAAAACAAGAACTATGGACAACCAACTCCATAGTGAAAGATTACACCACTACAGTTAGTTCAACTACACAGCTCTGAAAGAGTTCAAGTGTGCCTCTTACCACAATTGCATGCGGAGAATGCACTAAGGCCTTAAGTTCATTCAGGTCGTTCTCAGCCTGCAGAAATCGGCATAAGAAAAAAAAGAGTATATAAGGAGGGTGGATTTTGAATTCTCTCACAGATACTATAAATTTAAACAGTGGTTAATACAGTCCTATAAGCCCTACGTTACCTTATCCCATTCTCCTTCCATGACATGATTGCGGAATTTGGTAGCAGAAGGATGTTCTAAACGACATCCTGACTCTTGCATGAGGAGATCAACAGTCTGGCTGCAGGAGAGATACAGTGTAAAAAAACCCGACCAGTTTTACCCTCACAAATACACCGCCTGCCATGATAACAGTTTACCATATTTTAAAGTAAATTTAAGAAAACAAGAATACTATGACCAGATTCAGATGCTTGTTCAGAAAGAGGATCTCAGTTGTCTTAGACACATAAACAGCTACCTCTACCTAAAGCAAGTTGTCAATGAGCTTGAAAGCTTCGCTGAAGTACCATGAAGTCTGTGACTTACCAGCCACCACAAACAGCCATCCCTGCACAGAAGATAAACTTCATGAAGAAAGATATAGACTAGAAAGCTGTTAGCTACTGGCTGCTATCTCTGGCCCCCTCCCTGCCTCCCCCCCCACTAAAAGAACACAGAGAGCGACGACATCTGTCACAGGCCTAATTTTTTCTTCTTCCTCACATCTTAAAGACTGGCTCCTTACTAAAAAATAAACTCATGAACCTGTAGCCCTCCCCCTTTTATACTAAAAATAGCCTATTTACCGTGGTGTCGTCTATGAATAGTCACGAGTTGTCTGCTGCTGTAAACTTGCCTCTTGTGTCAGAGGCAATTTATTTTATGTGATAAGTTCTTTATAGCCGATCCATTCCACAGTGTTTTGAAGACTTCTTTTGTGGTAGTTACATAAACACTTTACAGCACTTGTCTAGCCTCCTTCCAAAATTATGACACGCTAGCTTTAGTTTTACTCACAAAGTGAGTGTTGTGATTAAAAACTTAAGACTTCCCCTACTCCACTGGGAAATTATTTTCCCTATTCCGACTTTAAGAAAGAGCCAACATATTCGTTTGTTGTTTACAAGTGAGATTATTACCAAGAACACGTGTCCAGCACAAATCTACAGAGGCCTTCACCATTTACAGGGCCAAAGGTTTTCAGAGTGAGACCAAACAGCCTCTTTAAGTGGCAGTTTACTTTATGCTCGCTTCCTGCGAGCTGACAAGCCAAATCTTGGAGCTCATCTGCGAAAAGCCGCCCCCCCACGCCCAGCTGCGGGCTCCATTATGTCTACCCGATAACTTCTCCCCCACTGACACATTTGTATTGATCTACCCTTATCGGTGTGCAACTCGACTTCCATATTGCCATTCCTAGCAGGGGAAGCTCCCGGCCTGTCCCTTCGCAAAGACACCGGCCCAGGCTCGGAAAACACATCTCCGGCTCCATTTTTTTCCAGGAGCGGGCCTGCCCCACGGCTCTGCCTCACACCCGGGCACTGCTCTCCCCTCTTTGGGGACTACCAGGCTGCGACAGGACAGTTCTGGCCACCAACCCCCGCTCCGGAGGTTCCTTTTCCCTCCCCTCGCCCCTGCTCCGGCCAGCCCATCCTCCGTGGGGACCCTCCCCGCGAACACGGTGAGAGAAGGGGAGGGCGGGCGTGCGGATTCTCCCGGCCCCGGGGGGACCCTTCGGTCGGTCGGTCGGGGCGCCCCGGCCAAGGAAAGAAGGAGCCTCCCCCCCCGCCGCCCCGGCCGCGCTGCCCCTCGCCCGCCGCGGCCACTTACTTGAGCCCCAGCCCGTGCAGGTGCTGCCCGATCAGCCGGATCACGTCCTCGTCGGACTGCGAGAGCCGCTTCTTCTTCTTCAGGGCGCTGCCGCCGCCGCCGCTCCCCCCCAGCTCGGCGGCGGCGGGGCCGGGCCCCCCGGCGGCGGGCACCCCGTTGTTGACGCCGAGCCCGCCGGGGCTGCCGCCGCCGGGGCCGCCGCTGTTGGCCGAGGGCAACAGCCCGTTGGCGTGGGCCAGCTGGTCGCCAGTGGCCGTGCCCGCCGAGGCCTCGCCATTCTGGGCGCCCAGGCAGCCCAGCTCCGGGCCCTGCGGCGGCGGCGACTGCTGCTGGCCCCCTCCCGCCCCGTTGGCCTGCATGGCGCTGCTGGCGATGCCGCCGCTGCTGCTGCTACTGCCTCTGAGCGGGGCGGCGGCGGGGGCGAGCCCGGCGGGCAGCGAGGGGGACTGGGACGAGGTGAGGCCTGCTCTGCCCGTGGACGCCCCGGGCTCTCCTGCTCCCTCCACCGCCGCCGCCGGGGAGGCCCGGGCTTTCTTCCGCGGGGGCGGGGAGGCTCCGCCGGTGTCCGAGTCGGAGGAGGAGGAAGCGGAGGCCAGAGTTTCCTCGCCGAGAGCGGCCGTGGTGGGAAGCCGGGGGGGCGAGGAGGGGGAGGCGGCGGGGGCGAGGGGAGGCGGAGCGGGGCCCTGCGCCCGCCGGGGGTCCCGGAGGCAGCGCCGCCGCCCGCTCGGGGCTCCCTCTGGCGATGGCGGCCGCCGCTGCCCTGAGCCCCCGCCCGGCAGCCCCAGGCGCCCGGCCCGCTCCACTCGCTGCCCGCCGGGTTTGTCTCCTCTCAGCCCAGCTGCACCTAATGGAGTCCGGGCCGGGACGTCACAGGAAATTCCTGCACTGCCCCCTACACACACTTCCGCCGCCCGGGGCCGCGGTGGGCACGGCCCCACGGCTGCCGGGGGGCGGTGGCGGGGCGGCTCCCCGGGGGCACGGGGACGCCCCGCCTGCAGCGCCCGGGTGGCCGCCCGCCCGCCCGGGGTCCCCCGGCGCCTGCGGGGGCGGTGGGCGTCGTGCCCGAGGGGGTCCCGGGGGTCTCGGGCTCGTGCCCGGCGTGTCCCCGCACCCGGCGGCCCTGGGGCGGGAGAGGGGCGAAGACGGGCGGGCAGGGGGCGCGGGAGGCGCCACCGCCCCGACGTGTCCCGATGGGACCGGCCGTGCCTGTCACACCCGGTGCGGGTGATCCGGCACTTCCCGGCGTCGGGTGATTTCCCGGTGCAATTTGGACGAGGACAAGTGGGTACAAATTGAAAGAGGGGAAGTTTAGGTTAGGTGTTCTTAAAGAATTCTTTACTGTGAGGGTTGGTGAGACACTGGCACAGGTTGCCCAGGAAGGTTGTGGGTGCCCCAGCTCTGGCAGTGTTCAAAGCCAGCTTGGATAAGGCCTTGAGCAGATGAGTCAAGTGGGAGGTGCCCCAGCCCATGGCAGAGGGGGTTGGGACTAGATGATCCTTAGGGTCCCTTCTAACTCTTGATTCTGTGTGGGGTTTTTTAAAAGAAAAAAAAGGAAATGCTCAACAAGGTCACATCCTGGCGTTGCCCAGGTTGGTTACTGGAGGGTTTCAAACCCGCTGTTGATCTTGTCTGTTGCAGTCACTGCATGCATGGGCATGGAAAGAGGGGGTAAATGGCAGTTTTGCTGTAGATCTTTCAGGAATATTGCAAGTTGGGGCACATTTGTCCAGTCAGGCTGTTGGAAGACACTGGGAATTTTGGGGTCCCAGTCTCTGCTCTGAGGTCTCCTTGCTGTCCTTCCTGTGTAATGGAAGGCAAACTCAAATCCTGAGCCAAGTCTCTGGTCAAAAGTCGTGAGATGAGTGAAGACTTCATCTTTAAAAATAGCATCTTGAAATAATACATTGTATGTTACTTGGTTTAGAACCTGTAATTTTTATCTTTGGTATGCTCAAGCTTTTCTCCAAATCCCAAAGGGAAATAACAAAACTTTTTTTTTCTCAATGAAAACTGAGATCAACATCTAATCATCTTTTCTTCAGAGGCTTTTTTTTGAGGTTTTAGGAGCACCAACTTAGGTTAAACCAGGAAGTTTGGACAATAGCACTTTCCTTTGAGTGGAACTTCGAAGAAGTCTGACTGAGGGAGAATGCGGGCCCAAGACCAGTGGAGAAGTCTGTGAAGGGACAAAGTCCATGAAAGAATTGAAACCAGAGAAGGAGATAAGACCATGTGGGGGCCTGGCCAGTTGAAGTAGATACCTTGGCCCTGTCTGGAGGCCTTAGAAGGTATTTGGTTGATAACAGCCAAAGCACTCTTACACCAGAGGGAGAGGTTGGAAAGAGCTTTGTCGTTGCCATCTGCCCAGGTGCAGCTGTGGCATTAAATTCAACATTGGTCTTCTGGAGAGGAAAATGTTGATTTTGTGTTCTTTAGTTCACCCGCCATTGCTGGAGAAGATAATGCTTGTGTTTTAACCACTTCAACATTGCTGTTTATCCCCTCATCTCCACTGCTTTGTCTTTTCAGCATTCCTGAGTTCTTCCTCAGTCCTCCTTCATCACCGAATCTGTAATTCAGAAGTTTGGGTAAAGATGACAGGAACAGTACAGAGAGCAGCACAGACCCTGTGAAGGCACCTGAAAGTGAACTCAAAAGATCAAGACTAGGTTTCAGGAAGGTAGAGTTGCTCATCATCCTTTCCTGCCCTGTGCCACAGTGTTTGGGGTGGAATGGGGAGGTAGAAACCCCTTCCTGCTGTACTGGTTGGTGCCACTGTCCCTCCAGCTGCTGGCCCTGCCACACTGCTCTTACACCGCCTGAAGATCCTGGCCTTCCCTAGTCAGTCACTGCTTTTGCTACCTGCATGTGCCCCGCTGCAAGGTACACACTAGTGTCTGTCTTGGTGAATCTGTGTAGAGTATGTCTGTGATACAAGAAATGCAGAATCCCTTTCTTGTAGGTGGGCAATGTCGTATGGGCAAGTGGCTCTGTATACCCAGCTCTGCTAGAAAAGGGTCTCAGAGAGTTGCAGTTTCCCTCTCTCATTTCAATTAAATACTCTCAAGGAGTAAGAGTAGTGCTTGGGGCTGAAAAGAACCTAAAAGATAGCCTTTAAGAGGTACATATTAATTGTATTGAAAGTTCTCCCCCCTCACCCCACCCCTCACACACATGTTCTCCTTCCTGGTGGGAGGAGATATCCCAGCACAAACACAAAGAGCTGGAGGAAGAAACTCAGTATTGTTGGGATGGTACAGACCCTGGCCTGCCCAGAGAGGTGGTGGATTCACTGTCCCTGGAGGATTTTAAGATGAGGCTGGATGTGGCACTGAGTGCCATGATCTAGTGATCACAGTGGGGTTGGATCAAGGGTTGATGATCAAGGAGGTCTCTTCCAACCCAGTTAATTCTATGATTCCTATGCCAGGGGGAGCTGGATGAGACATCTGAAAGTTTCTTGGGATCCCAGGTGATATAAAGGTGTAGAAGGGGAATGATTCAGAATCCTACACGTGAAGAGCATGCCTCAGCCAGATCCTAGCTCGCATGTGTAAAGTTCGTGGAGGAGTTTCTGCTCCTGTCCTCCTTTGTCACCTACAGCTTTCCTAGTCATAGGGAAGAGCTTTTCCTTCTAGGCTTTTCCTAGTCTCCAGGAGGGGATCTTGAGAGACAGCTGTGTGGTTAGCAGACTTTCTTCCCTATGCTGCAGTAAGGAAATAGAGAATCGGGAAAGGGGTAATGGCACCATGCTTTGTCAGTCTTCCATCAGCTGAGCCCTGATTTGGATCCTGATTCTATTCCACACACATATGAGAGAAGGCAGATTTAATAATCCAAATAAGTGTGCGGCTTTTTGAGCAATTAGACAAATGAACTGGTAAATACACTTGTGACAGATGACTATATTATAATAACATAAGTATGCATTTGTCATATTTAGGCATCTTCAAAGTTTCTCAAAAATAGAGAATAAATGGAACAATTCAGCTATAACAGGTGACAAACTTAAAAACACTCAGGAGACGAATTTTAAAGACAAATTTTGGCAAACTTAAATACAGTTGTTGTAATATCAGCCAAGTTACTGAAGCAGAGGCATAATACATAACTAGAATGTGTACAATTCTGACATTATTGTAATTCAAACAACTTCCTATAGTAGACAGCCACATCTTTAATTGAAAAATGCTGCAGAAACATTTCTTAGTTATTTTGGCAGTTTAGAAAACTGAAGAGACCCATCACTCCTTATCAAAAACAACCAGTGAAGTGACCAATGTAGGACATGTTGAACAAGTGATATCTTTCAGTGTAAGAAAAGTGTCTTGGAACATTCTTGACTAAATACAAATGTTTGAACAGCAAGAAACACTTCTATTTTCCAGGTTTGGAATGTTAAAAAAGAAAAAAACCCTTCAATTTGTCATTTATGGCCTGACTAGAACTAATAAAACTTAAACTAATTTTTCTCTCTCTCTCTTTTTTTTTTCTTCTTCTCCATTTTGCCCTAGAGGAGGATGGGTCAGAAAGTCCAGATTCTGAATAATAGGAAGAAACTCTCATTAAGGGCTTGGGTTATTGGATAATAACCATGTGAGGCTGCTTCAGTAGAGCTGAGATATTACAAAATATTAGAGAAACTCCTGGAGAGATGGTTTAGCAGACAAAGCTGCATGATAAAGGTAATTAGTCATTTGATTCTCTCCTATCAGGTATGTATGTGTGTATACTTTTCCTATGCTTCTGCACCAAATTTGAGGTTACTGGAAACAAACCGACTAACAACAAAGAACAAAGGAAGAAAGGATAATTTAGAATAATGGCATTTTCTGCAGTACCAGCTAAATAAATGCTTGAACAGGGGCCTGGGATATGCTTGTAACTTCCAAAAGATGAGATGTGGATGAAAGACAACTATCTTCCTTAAACAGCATTTCTAGAAAGCATTCAACAGATAAGAAGCAAATTATGCTGGTCTGAGATTCCATCACTTCATGCAGAGGATGGTTGGTACTTAAGTAGAGGAGTGGAATATGGAAAGCCAAAACTTGTCTGGAGTTGCAACTGAGAGCCAACATGAAGGGCAAGAAAAAGAGCTTTCACAAGTGAATCAGCAGGAAAAGGGAGAGAAGGGAAAATATGGGCCTGCTGCAGAATTGGGTCACTGAACTGCCAATAAAGGTCAAGGAAAAGGAAAAGGCTGAAGGACTCCTTCACCTTGGGTTTTACTGGGCTTGGGCTTTCCATATCTCCCAAGCTTCTGTGGCTTATGCAGGGTCTGGAGTGGGAAGGAGACTACCCACAGAAAGTCCACTGTATCAAGCTGGGAATATACAAGTCCATTGGACCAGATGGCCTGCATGTGAGTGTTGAGGGAGCTGGTCAGTGTTACTGTGTGCTCACCCACTGTGTCATTTGAAAGGGAATGGTGTTTAGAAGACTAGATGACTGAAGAAAAGGAAAATGATACACCCTAAAGTTCAGTTGTATCTGACTCTGTGTCACTGATTTTGAGCTTAGTGATCAAGGGGAAAGCAGAGTATGCCATTTAAGCTTGTCTTTATTAATGCTTTTGGTAGGCTTCCTCAATAACCTTATAGTGGGGGAGATGCGGAAGGGGTGGGCAGACTATGTGTGTGAAAAACTGGCTGTACCACCAGGCTTGAAGAGTAATGTCTCATTGGTTTGAAGTCTGACTGATGACCAGTTGGGAGGGATTAGGGATCAATACTGGAGCAAATCCTGCTTGATAAATTCCCCACTCACATGCCATTCAGAGTCGCCTCGGCAAGCTGCCAGAGTGGGCCAGTGAGAGCCTTGTGTTGGTCAACAGAGCCAAGTCCAAAGTCCTGAATGTGGGACACACTATCCTTGCAGAACAGGCTAAGAACCAACTGGCTTGGGAATAGCCCAGCAGAAAAGTTCCTGGCCATCACACCTCGAGGGCTGCATTATGGATATATCCAGCAGGTACATGCCCTTTGTGTGGCATTGTGAGGCCACATTGGATACCTACTGTCCAGCTTGGGCTCCTCCAGCAGCAGCCAGGTCAGTGGAGGCTGCTGAGGTGGTTGGGGCTAGAGCACGTCCTGTGTGAGGAAATGGGTTTGGCTACACCAGGATCTAATTACAGTGTTCACCTTCCCAGGGGGAATTATAGGGAAGACGGCACAAGGCTTCTCTCTGAGATGAGCACCAACAGGACAACAGACAAAAGCGAGAAGTTGCACCCAGAGATATTCCAATTGTGTATAAGTAAACAAAAGTTCAAAGTGAGAGTTGTCAAGTAGTGGAACACTTTCCCAGAATGGCTGTGAACTTTCCATCCATGAAGATAAAACTAGGCTAGACAAGAGTTTAAGCAACCTAATTTAGCCTTGAAGATAGCCCTGTTTGGAGTAGAAGGTTAAATCAGTGACCTGCAACTTTAATTTTGCTGTGATTATAAACACAATTCCCAGAAGAATCCTTGTGGTATGGGGTGAACAGTATTGTCATGTCTCAGCAGTTACTGTCCCAAAGCTTCAGTAGGGTCATCATGTTGCCTTGTAGATGAGCTCACATGGCAAGGATGAGGGCAGTAGTGCTGTGGTTGCAACCTAATTAAATATTAGGTAATCACACTGTGTCTTCTGTTCACCAAATTCATGTACATACACTAATGTCGACCTTTGCACTCTCCTGGGCAATCACAGCATGGTGTGGTCACAGAGATAAATGCCAGAAAGTGCTGAGAATCCCATGTGGTACAGAACGTCCTGTTTAATACCTGTTATTACATGGTCAGTGTAATTTCCCATAGAAGAGCATACATGGCATGGTTTTGCCTGTATTTCTGTTGCCATGGATGCCTTGCTGGATGTGCAGGATGCCATGTACTGAGAGAGCTCAGACTTCCCTGTATGGGCAGATAAAACATGAATGTGCGAGAAGTGTTGATGCCGGACTGGTACTTACTGTGCAACTTCCCTGAGCATGTACTGCACGACAATATTGCATATGCTGTGAATCTGACATGTCAGACTTGCTTTGCATGCAAGTTTTATCTGTCTGGGACTATCCTAGATATCAGTTTGTAAAATCTGTCTGTCTATACTGTGATACGTCAGTCATTTTTAGGTCTATTAGGAAGTTATGTGTAGCCAGGATTTGCAAAGGCAGTAGGCCACCATGTCAGTGCTTCAACGGACTTGCAATGGACAAAATAACAGCGTGCTTGGACTTTCCTTTTTTTCCTCCACATGCTGATAGACATGAATGTTCACTCTTTATGAAGTCCCCTTCTGACCACTGTGTGCAGCAGGAGCTGGCATGCATTCCACAGAAAAGGCTGTCACTGATTTTCTTCCATGAAGCTTTCCAATCTCGTCATTTAGAGTGTCTCCTGTGGCCTGTGTTCTTTAGTATTCGTGTGTCAATTTCATGCCCAGGTCTCAGATGGCTTATCGGTGTTTTTATGGGAGATTGGATTTATTTATATACCTCCTATATGTATATATATTTATATATTGGATTTATTTATATACCTCCTATTGCTGCAGTTATTTTACTTTTCCTACTTGAGGGCCGCTCCCCTGCTTTTTACTTCTTGCTGGCTCTCAAAGACAATTGTTATTTCAGGCTTGTTAATTGTGTCTGCCAACTCCCACATAGCTCCTAGAGCCTAACCCTGAGTGGGGTAACACAACACCTTCTGTTGCCTATCCTTTGAATTAGGACCTGTCTCTCCCAGAATGACATGTGCATTAGTCCTTTCTCCATATGACTGCTGTTTTCTCTGGAAGGGTATATTGCAATGAGCTCTCACACCTGGAACTAAACATTCAAGACCAGGCACGTAGACTGGAATATCTCATATCCACTCTGGAATGGGCAGAGAGGGGAAATTATTATGTAATCACCAGATTACATCTTGACATTAAGCTTGTGAATAGCTCCTTGGAGCCTGGGATTACTTAGTAATTTTTTTCCCCTTCTTAATCAAGAATATATCGTTTTCCACATCCATGTTTAAAAAAACAAGTGAACCTCCTTATTTGCTTTGGGCAAGAGATTAAAGGTTAGTGTCACAAGAATGTCAATGCACTACTATTTAAGTGCCCCTTATTTTAAGAGAAATCACTAGTTTTTGTTGCAACTGTACCTTTGCTTAAAACATAACTTTACGCACCAGCTTCTCCATCTTTGTTGGTGCATAGTATTAACATCAGAAATAAAAAGCCACAAAATTAGAGAAAAGATTCCTTTGTGTGGCTCTATACATTTATATAGTAAAAAGTCTTCACCACTTCATCTAATCTGTAACTCTTTGTTGGTACATCAACTCTGGCACTTGCTCTCAGGCTTAAGACCTCATAAAGTTTCAAATAGCTACTGTAATAAAGAACCTAAGACACCACCAATAATCCAGCCCAAAAATACTTTCTCTGCATGCTGGAAAAAGAGTTTTGTTCCAGAACTAGACTGGCCTGAGATGCAGGAATGGGAAACACAGTCATGGCACAACGGCACTGCACTGTGTTGAAGGCTGATCACTCAAACTTTCATGCAAGTTTGGTTTTTGTTTCTTTTTTTTTATGTCTTTGACTAATATATTTGGGCCTTTGGTACTAACCAACCTGATTTCTCAAATTGAAAGCGTAACATTCATCAAATTTTCTGTGATACTTGGGGGGTTTTGTTTTGTTTTGTTTTTTTTCCAAGAGGGTACAATCTGTGGAATACAGGCAGAGATAGTGTTTACTGAGACATGTTTGGAGCAACTAATACACCTTATTTGAATCTTTGCCTCACAAATAATGCAGTACTTTCAAATATATGCAGATTAAACTTTTATGCTTTTTTGGCTTCTCTCCTAAAAAGAGTGCCAAGAGAGTTTCTGAAGCATGATGTGGTAGGTGGGCTTTACTGACATTCATTTGGCCGCATTACTCATCACCATAGTTTGACTAATGGGAGGGACACCCTAGATATTGTCATTCCTATTTTTATCTATCAGGGCAAGATGATAAAATAGACGTAATTACATCTGTAGAATTTTTGAGGTAGTTTCTAGTTTTCTATAAATATTAACAGCTTCTTTGTAAGCAATTTCTATTTAATAGCACTTCTTGAGATTGCCACATCTGAGAGAGGAGCGTGTCCTGCTGGATACTGTCAGAGCTGGGAGGCATGGTGGGAAGTGGTTCCAGCTGTAAGGAGGAAAGGGGAGTTTTGTAAAATTAGGATCAAAGGCTTGGCCTTTTAAATATTTCAGTGCACATGTAGACATACTTCTGTGGGTAGTACTATTTACTGCATTTTCGCAGTTGGAACCACTTTTACGAATTATAACAAATCTGTCACCTCAAAGTAACTAATTATATTGCACACTGTGGCCACTTCAAAACCTCACAATGCTTCCTGAAATGAGCTCAAGCTTTCTGTCCTAAAAAACAAAGACTCCTCTCCTTGAAGCTAAAAGAATCCCCATGTGTTGTTAGGAGCCCCCTGCCAAAGATGTGCAGTGCCAAAGACACAGCTGAACAGAACTAATTTCATTTTGCCAGGAGCATTGACACAAATGCAAAGTAGGTGGCTTGATAAATCTGCTTTGCTGTTATTGTTGCAACAATGGTATTAGCAGCAAAACCTTGACAGAACTTTGTTTTTAAAAGACATAATTCATTATATTAATCTAGCC